AGTTATGACAAAATCAGAATTAAAAGAGTTATAATACAGTTAATGCGGGGGGATGGTGGCGAAATGCAAAATGCTTTCACTTCTGATCTTAAGATTAAGATTAGCTGGGCATACGCTTTTTTCTTCTGCATTTACTGCAATAATTTTGTTGATAGTAGGTTGAATAGAGCACATGTGAACAAGATTTGACAAATTAATTCACTTCAAATAAGAACTCAAGGAATAATATATATTAAATTATTAGTGTGAAAAATCTAATTTAGATATTAAAATACTAAAATTCAGTTAAAATATGGTACAAAATAATAAAAATTATAGGCAACATTATTGAAGCAATTATTTTGGGTAGAAAAATCCAAGGTGATATTGTACCTTCACCGCGAATGCTATATATTATTTTTTTCTGAATTTGTTATACTTTTTAAAAGATTTCAATTTTCAACACAAGTATCTATGACAATAAATACATCACAAAGGCAGACGATGATTTTTGTGTGATGAATTTGGAAAATCAATGTTTCAGCCGTGAAGAAACAAAAAATCATTCATTTATACATCTACATCTACAGATATGTCTAAAAATATTGTATAACCCTTAAATTCAATAAGATGAATTGATATATCGGCAATAAATTCATTCTCTAAATCGCAGTGTACAATTTATATTTTAATAATTGTTAAAGGGATTCAAGTGTTAACTGTGGGAATTGAGAATAATCATTTTATTTGAAGCTGTTCTACATTTAACATCACTCATATATTGATGTAAATAGTAATTAAAAAAACAATAATGATAATTTTTCACTAAACGGTATATATATTAGTATAGGGTATTAAAAAAAAACGTAGATGTGGGTACAGGACAACGTCCGTCGGGTCATCTAATATATATATATATATATATATATATATATATATATATGTATATATATATGGCGAAATGAACACGGCCACATGACAGATGTCAGTTGAATTACGCCAATTTGATGACAAAACTTCATAGCATCCTTGGAGCTTCTCTGATGCAAACTTCACATCAAGCAAGCTATAGGAGATTATTGTTTTAAGACGATCGTAAAATTGATTCGGTTTTAATCATGGAGCATTTTGTCGGGACTAAAAAATGATATCTAAATTTCTATAATTATAAATCGAGTTTCATGATAAATTGAGTTTTCAATAAACTGACATCACCAACGAGGCAACATCAGATAATTGTGGTTTCACTTCTAATAATAATAATATTTAATGAAAAATGGTTAACTTCGGCCATAAATAGTGACTCCGTACGTGAAAGTAAAATTGTTAGGCAAGAGACATACACAACGTCCTAGTACCCATAATTGGTGACGTCGGACGGAGAAAGAAGAACACGTGTCAGCTACAAAGAAATTTTCAATGGTAAATTATACCAATTTTTTCAAAGATGTCGACTTGATCTACGTTCAGCAATGATGAAACAGCACTCAACAGATCTCTGATCGATCTGGATCACGAGGCGGTCTTTAACACGAGCAGTCCATGTGTTTTTGAACATGACAGTTATGCTGAGCAATATAATATAGTAGCATTTAATAATCATTGTCAAACTCCATTCAATGGAGATTCTCTAGACCTATGGTTCCTAGTCATTGAAGCTGAGTTTCAGTCTGCTAAGATCAGGAGTGACGATACTAAGTACACGGCAGTACTTAAAGCCCTAGACTTTGAAACACTGCGCCTCATTCAAGATGTCCTCCGTAATCCTCCAATGACGGGCAAATACGAACACATTAAAAAGACTATATTAAGCAGAATGTCTGAATCCAGAGGTAAACAAATTGACAAGTTATTAAAAAACTTATCTCTAGGAGAGAAGAAACCATCACAGCTCCTACGAGAGATGATGGATTTGACTAAGGGAGAGGTCAGTGAAGACATCATAATGAAACTGTGGTCAGAGCGCCTGCCACACCACATTCGGCCCCAATTGATAGTTTCTCGTCATCTTGGTCCGGAAGCTCTGGCGGAAGTAGCCGATATTTTGGTCGATCACTGTGCGCCCACATCATATGTGATGTCCACAGCACACAAGCCTTCAGTGGAACAGAGACTGGACCGCCATGAAACTCTGCTTATGTCATGCATCCAGGAACTCAAGGAACTAAGGGCAATGTTAAACTCTGAAAGGCAAAATAATGGTCAGCAGGAAACACAACACAATCGTTCAAAACAAAGAAGTGGTTTTCGACATAGGTCCAGGACACCTTCTCGTGGAGCAGTTTGCTACTATCACGAGTGAGAAAGCCACAAAGTGTGAAGAGCCCTGCCTGCTTAAATCTTTAAACCGGTCGGAAAACTTACTTCACCTTCATTAATTGGAGCTTGCCATGACGGTGAAATAAATTCTCTCTCCTTTGAGCTCCGCCTACATATTTCAGACAGAAAGACTGCAATCCAATTTCTTATAGATTCAGGATCAATTTTATCCATTTTACCAGCCCATAAGTTTGCCAATGGTCATGCCAAGGAAGAACTAGTTTTGCTTGCAGCAAACTCTAGCAGAATATCCACGTATGGCAAGAGAACTTTGGAGCTGGATCTATAACTACGCAGAAGCTTTAACTGGCAGTTTGTTGTTGCCGATGTAGCCACAGCCATAATAGGAGCCGATTTCTTAAGCAACTACAATTTATTAATAGACTTGAAGGGCAGAAGATTGATTGATTCGACCACAGGCCTTACCTCTGATGGAAAGGTACTCAAGGCACAGCAAGTCAACATCTCTACTGTCAACCCGGCAGAGCCTTTCAAAGATTTACTGGCACAATACATTGCAATAACAAAGCCGCAGGTAACCACCGATATTAAATTATCTCATTTTTCCCACAGGATTACCACAACAGATTCACCATTAGCTTCCAGATTCAGGAAGATCTTCGGAGAAAAGGCTATTGCAGCCAGGAGCGAGATACAAGATCTCCTGAACAGGGGCATTTTGAGGCCTTCCAACAGTCCATGGGTAAGCCCTATTCGCATGGTTCCAAAGAATAATGGCACATTCAGAATGTATGGAGATTATAGGGGGCTGAACGCAAACACGCTGCCCGACAGGTATCCTCCACCCTTAATACAAGATGTGTTTAATACTCTTCATCAGAAAGCAGTATTCTCTACAATAAACCTAACAAAAGCATACCACCAAGTACCCATGCATTAAGAGGATATCAATAAGACTGTAATTATCACACCATGGGGACTCTTCGAGTACCTGCGCATGCCATTTGGTCTCAAAAACGCCGCTCAGACATTTCAGAGTTTTATCAATCACATCTTCCAAGATTTTAATTTTGTTTTTATTTATATAGACGACATACTGGTAATGTCCACTGACATAAATGAGCACCATCGTCATCTTCAAATGGTTTTTGAGAGGCTACAGGAGTATTCACTCACAATCAACTTAGAGAAATGCGTTTTTGGCAAAGATGAGGTAAACTTCCTCGGTTACAAGCTGAGTACAGCAGGATATTCTCCTTTATCTGACAGAGTAGACAAAATCATTATATATCCAAAACCTTTGACAGTTATTGAACTCCGAAGATTTTTGGGCATGGTAAATTATCATCGTAAGTCAATACCCAAGGCAGCAAGGATACAATTAAGCAATTACTTACGAAGTGCTGTGAAGAACGACAAAACTCCAATTTTTTGAAACCCAGAATCTCTTAAGGCTTTTGATGACATAAAGATAGCACTTGCAACCGCTGCATTACTCCACTATCCAGCTGTTTCAACAAAAATCTGTTTAGTAACTGACGCATCTACAACAGCCATTGGAGCAACCCTGGAGCAGAAAGAAAATGGTGCATGGCACTCTATATGTTTCTTTTCCAGAAAGCTCACATTTACTGAACAGCGATATTCAACTTATGATCGCGAGCTACTAGCTATCTTTGCGGCTTTAAAATATTTTGAAAATCTGCTAGAAGGAAGGCACCATGTAATCAAGGCAGACCACAAGCCAATCACACATGCATTTCAACAGAGATTGGGGAAAGCATCAGATCGTCAGCGACGGCAGCTGGAATACATTTCACAGTTTTCCACTGATATCATTTATGTGAAGGGTGAACAGAACATGGTTGCTGATGCCTTGTCCAGGATCAATGCCATTCAAATGCCTTCAAAGTTAACTGCTGAGAAAATTTCGAAAGAGCAGAGCAAAGACGTTGAAATGCAGACTTTATTAAGTGGCAATACTTCTGTGAACCTACATAAATTGTCATTAGACAGCCATCCAGTTTTTTGCCACACTCAAGATAATTTTTTGAAGCCCTACCGTCCGCAAAGTATTAGCAGAACCTCTTTTCACATAATACATCAAAGTCAACCAAACACTTAACAAGAATTCAAACCACATCACTTGGAGTTAACAATGGATCCTCCAAGAAAAATTAAAGCCAAAAAAGTCTCTTTCAAATTATGAACTTATTCATTTATTTCTAACGGATACTTATTTTTCTTTTGAAGGGGAGTAATATGGCGAAATGAACACGGCCACATGACAGATGTCAGTTGAATTACGCCAATTTGATGACAAAACTTCATAGCATCCTTGGAGCTTCTCTGATGCAAACTTCAGATCAAGCAAGCTATAGGAGATTATTGTTTTAAGACGATCGTAAAATTGATTCGGTTTTAATCATGGAACATTTTGTCGGGACTAAAAAATGATATCGAAATTTCTATAATTATAAATCGAGTTTCATTATAAATTGAGTTTTCAATAAACTGACATCACCAACGAGGCAACATCAGTTAATTGTGGTTTCACTTCTAATAATAATATGTAATAATAAATGGCTCTCTTTGGCCATATATATATATATATATATATATATATATATATATATATATATATATATATACGAGTATATATATAGTACGATATGATAACAATAATGTATTCTATAATGCAAAACTACATGAAATGATATAATGATTTTAATTACTTACAGGTGTATTCTTGATACCATATTTCATTATACTTGTGGTGTGCGGCATACCAATGCTATTCATGGAATTGGCGATTGGCCAATACACTGGTCGAGGGCCAATTGGAGCTCTTGGCCAAGTTTGTCCTCTATTTAAAGGTAAGCTTTACATGGCTTCCTTTAACCATAAAATAAATTTTCTTTTTGTATCTTGTTATATATAAAAATGGAGCTCGGTATTATATTAGGTATTCTAAGACTCTAAAACTGCTGAACGGATTTGGCCAGTCTTAGTTTTGAAATATTCCTGCTAATCTAGAGGTTGTGAGAGATGTGAGATATTATTTCAAAAGAAGCGTAAAAACTTCACATTTTTAATTTGAATTTTTTGTAGAGGCGTAATTTAAATGAAACGATGGACGACGGCTCATACGTCAAATGTCAACTGGTTTTTATAGATGATGTTTAATTAAATTTAATAGGATGTTTTAGATGAATATTATTTAATTGTAGTAAGTAGTTTTGTTTGTTGTTTTATTTTTACCCAAAAACATTATAAAACGGGCCGCAAGTGTTAACTTAAAATATCAACTTTTTTGAAATGGTAATAAGAAAATGCACTTTTTGACGTTATAGCACTATTTTTTTGCAAATCAAATTTTTCTCAAACTCAAACATAATTTTTTACTCATTGATAATTTATAGAACATTTTTTAGATAATATTATTTTTTATTTATGTTATTTAAATTTAGAACCTAAATTTAGAATCGATCAAAGTAGACATTTTGTTGAATAACTGATTCCCAATTATAACACACAACAATTTTTATAAATATTTGGTTAATAATATATCACTTTGAAACATAAACCTGCAAACATATTCAAACAATTACAAGTTCTCTAGAATAAAATATTTTAATAATTGATTATAAAGTTTGCATTCTATTAAATATATTAAAATCCTTTCAAACAGTATGTTAAAATCTATGCGTTTTAGACACATTCAGACTTCATTCATATTTCATTAAATTACTCTACAAATTAAAAATGATAAAATTACGGCTCAGAAAGTTTGTATAAAATTAAACCATTTAATTTGATAATGCAAGGTAAAATATAATTCACTAATGGTTATTTTCCACGATTTTTGAAGAATAAACCGGCAAAATTTGCTATGAATTTATCGAATTGATAATAATATATGAAAGATTGGGGTTAAAAAGGTTTACTACCGACACTTAGAAAATCAGTAAAGTTAAGAATTATTCAACAACAAAATTTCAAAGTAGACTGAAAAAGGTGTATAATCCAGCCATCCTGTTTGTTTTATTTTGATTGTGAGCACTGTGGTTTAGTTTACGTTACCCTAATATAATTTTTAACTATACGTGATTTAATTGTTTTATAAAAAGATAAATCTTAAGTGTGATTCAAAACATTTTTTTATATAAGCACTTTAAAAGCTTACACCTGAGTGGGATAAAAAAGACCAACTGAACAATAACCCTGCAAAGGTGTAAAAAATTATAAAAAGCAAATAAAAAAGTAATTTAAGTTGAATAAATAAATTAGATACCACCTAAAGGTAATTTACAGTGTTATCTGTATAAAAAGTGCAAAATGAAACTTATATTTTTTATTAGGTAAATAATGTAGATATTATTTTAAAATGACCTTTGAAATTAAAATAAAATAGGACATTGAACTTGTTTGCCACCTAGCCGTCTTAAGTTATGCAGCGTATAATATAAAAAAGACTAGATACAAATTTTTGAAAAACAAAAAGAAAACACTTTTTTTAAATGATAAAGTAGCTGTCAGTTTTTCTGAACATAGTCAGATAATTGTTCGTTTGATATGTGTTATTTGTTGTGAAATAATTGGTCTGGTTTTCACAATATAATTTATGTCAGTCCAAAATCAAATTGGACCTCAAAGAAATTTGAAAAAATTGTATAAGCTCAATAGTATTAACAACAATTATGCAGGTAAATTAGTAATCAGGTAAATTGGTTGACAGGTGAATTGGTAGGTAGGTAAAATGTTGAATTGAAAAACATGTAAAAAATGCAGTTTGGTTTGTATTTCTAATTGAAAATAAAACCCGGAGAAGAGTGAACGAGTACAGCTAGTATATTGATAAAATACTGTAAATATATTGTGAATACAAATTTAGTTACCTAATGAATATTCTTTTAGTCCACCATACGCATATACTTATGCGTGAATTGAAGATTTCGAGATTATGCAAAACTACCCGTTTAGTCATCAAGAAGATAATAGGAAATGTAATTGTCGAAACGAATGTAACGTTGAAAGAAATACTAGAAATTTTACCACGGACCGAGATATTGTACCATTTTAACTAAATGGTTACCATTTCTCATAGTTTTTTTAGCAATTGCCATAAGCATAAAGAAGTCTCAAATGATGTCCACTGGTGGGCTGGATTTAGAAAATGTTTTCCACAATTGCATGAGGCAATATGGAGTATGTGAAAACCGAACGATTTATTTGCGTTAGCTAAAAGAGATCGAGTTAGAAATATTCTGCATCAATTACTTCTATATTAGATTTATAAAATCATTGGAAAATAGCAAAATGCAATATTAAATATTTGAACGTGACTTTATTAAAAATTAAAAATTATCTTTATAAAAAATTCACCAAATAAATGTAATGGACCAAAAATAACAGTATGGATAAGGGTATCCATAATTAACAAAGATATAATCAATTAATTAAAATTGTGATGATAATTATTAAAAAAAGTTATTGAAATATAGTAAACGAATTTAAATATTAATTAGAGTACAAATGGCAGATAAAGAATTTCAAAAAATATGAATAAACAAATTAAAATGGTAATAGCATTTGAAAAATGTTGTTGGAAAAGTTGGAAAACGGAAAAATATTTAGAATTATTTATATGAAACTTAATAAATTGAAATGTTTAATATTTTAATTTAACAAATATATGTTTTAACAATCCGTCAATAGTTACACTATATCTGGTGTTAAACAAATAAATAAAAGAATTGTACATTACAATACTGAACTCATTTTTAACTGATTTATATTTATTAAAAAATTATTTAAAAAAATTCTTTATGTTTACAGTGAAAAATATAGAGTGCAAATAAATATTATATAATCAGAGTTCTATTAATTGTATGCTAAAAGTATGTGTATATAAATTAATATACTATAAATGTGAAATTATAGCATAAATACATTATTTTTATAGAAATATATATAAGAAAAATTTGCTAGTAATTAAATAATTTGATAAAAAAAATGTCGAAATATGTTTTTGCGTTTATGATGAAATTTAAGACGACTATAGATTTCATGCTCGAAAAGAACAACCCAAAATATTAATTTACGAATATTTGTTGAAATATAAAAATGCATTAAAATTGAGAATGATTGGCTATAATTAATATATACATATTATAATTACATATATTATAAGTCTGATTGACTGATATCAATTAGTAATCACATTGATATGGTTTAGGTCCCGACTATTTTTGGAAATAAAACTAAATAACTAAACCTCGTTTTCAATTGAATAACTCAATTACTTGCGTATCGAAAACTTTGTGCAATTTGCCTTAATGCAAAATGCTTCTTACATTCAGTTTTATTTTTAATCTGACCCGCTTACGAATTCAAAATTTAATTCGTGAACAAAAACCGTATTTTAACGTAACTTTAAATACGTGGAATTGTCCGTGATATTGTTTTTACTTATTTTATACAATTTTTAGTAATTATATTTAAAATTTAAATACTAATACAAATTTTTATGATTATCAAGGATGCATTCGCGTTGGACGCTTACGCGCTGTGAGTGCTCACACTTAATTTGATTAAATTTTTAGTATTCAAGATGGCCGATGAGCGTTTAGAATCAATAACCAAATTTCGTTCGTTTTGGATACTGTGAGGGTCAATAATCATCAACATGGCGGCAACTAGCGGTAACAGTAATTGTGTAAATTTTATTACTTTCTGGATCAATTAGCTCAACAAAAAATAATTGTGATCTACAGCTTGCCTTTTTTGCGGGATTATAAGGAATTTAGCAATTAATAAATAAATGAAATTTGGTTAGCTTATGCTTAATTAATATTAATATTAAAATTAAAATTTAAAATTAATTAAAATAATTGAATTTAAAATTAATTAATATTAATATTGATTTTAAAATATAATTGTGATCTACAGCTTGCCATTTTTGCGGGATTATACAGAATTTAACAATTAATAAATAAAGGAAATTTGGTTAGTTTATGCTTAAGTTGCATTTGTTTATAGTTTATAGTTTATAGTTTGGTGAAAAGTCTCAGACATGAAGAAATTTCACCTCTAAACGCTTTATTGTACGTTACATAATCATTAACATTACCACTTAACTTCTGAGAGACTTTGAACATGGGTAACGCGTATTTAAGCTAAAATATGAACAAACAAAACAAAAAATTAAATATATATATCTGAGATCATGAAACCGCAAGTGACGCGATCCGAGTTTATCCCAAGTCTGGAATGAAAAGAAAAATTAGATATGTTTAGTTGAGACCAACTGAAACATTTTAGATAATCAATGCATGTTTTCAGAATATGATGCACAATTTAATATCTTCGTATTGGGCACCGTTAGAAGATCAAGAATAATAAATACAATGTCGGCAGTTGCTGATAGAAAATAGACTTGAATCAATCCTGTCCGTCAATGTGCGTCAAATTCTAAAGTGGATCTGCAAAAAGGAAGAAGCGCAGTATCAAAAAAGAAATATACTAATAAATGAATTTGAATAAAAGATATTTTATATAGAAAGGGTTAGTAAAATTTATTAAATAATAAGATTTAGGGAAAAGATGGCATGAATGAGAGGACAAAGGATATCATGGAAGATACTATCAAAGGCTCTGGACAAGTCACAAAAAATTGTAATGCAAAAGCTACCATCTTCAAAAGAATGGGCAATATCATGTAATAAAGTGTATATAGAATGGGATGTTGAGCATTTTTGTCGAAATCCAAACTGACTTTAAAATAGAATACCGTTTTTTGTTAAAAAATTATTAAGGCGACGTTAAGATTTTTCCAAAACTTGTATCAAAAGTATTTAATAATGAAATTGGTCTCTAATTATTAATTAAATCAGTGGCCCCTTTCTTATAAATAGGCTTAACTTTTGAATGTTTGAGATTATTTGGATAGGTGCCTCTATCGATAGCGTTATTAAATCATATGAGAAGTTTATCAATAAATAATGGAAAAAAATGTTTTAAAATGTCAGATGAAATTTTATCTGGTCCTGAGGAATAAGAATTATTAAGAGAAAAAATTGCATGCGACAATTCCTCGGAGGATATAGGATATAGATAAAAGGAATTTGAATTAGTTTTTATTTTAGAAAAGATTGCATTTGAAATGACCGGATCAATAGTTATATTTGAAGTCAAATTAAAAGCTTCATTAACAAAAAAATTATTAAATGCGTTGGCAATTGATAGCTGATCATAAATTTTTATATTATTAATATTAAGGCATTCAATATTGGTAGAATTTGCTTTAAAGTTAACTTCCGATTTTATGAGTGATCACATCGCTTTTTGTTTATTATGAGAAGTGAAAATATTATATCAAAATATAATAATTTTTGCTAGTTCACATAAAACGTTGAAAATTTCTCTATATTCCAAAAAATAAATCATAAAACTAAAATTACTTTTATGTTTGGATTCTCTTTCTAAACGCCATAATTTATTATATGAAATACATAGGCCTTGAGAGTTCCACGTTTGAGTTTTATTAATGTTCATTTCATGTGTTGATATAGGAAAAGCAGTGTTGAAATTAAGTAAAAAAGAATTTATAAATGTATTAAATGTAAGGTCATTGGATTGATCCAACATATTCCAAGTCTCTTTTTCTAGTAGTTCCTTGAAAAATAATTTATTTGTTATATTAAATGGGAAGTAGAATTAGTAGTATTAGGCAAAGAGACCAAAATTCCATAATGATCAGAAAGACTGGTATTAATTACACAAGAATTTACCGTAGATATATTTGTGAAAAAATTATCAGTACATAATGAGGAGGAGTTAGTTATTCTCGTAGGGTCTTTAATAGTAGGAATGATTCCATGCTAAATTTAAAACTATCACTAATACGGTCTCTTTTGTTTAAACGGATATTGAAGTCACCGCAAACAATTATTGAATCATATTTAATAAAAAGTTCATCTAACAGATTATATACTAAACTTATAAACTTCTGAACGTCTTGGTCAGGAGATCTGTATACACAAACAACACAAAACGTGTTATGAGAAAAATGGGTTTCGATGGAACAAAATTCAAAGACTTTTTCTATAGGCAAAATATTAGTTTTGATACTTTTACATTTCAATTTTGTTGAAGCAAAAATACAAACACCGCCGTGTTTGAAGACATTCCGGCAAAGAAGGAACATAAATTATAACCATTTAATTTGATTAATAACAGTTTAGAGTCGGTTAACCAATGTTCAGTCAAGCATAAAAAATTTGGTTTATATTTAGTCAGAACTATATCAAGTTTGTTTAATTTGTTAAGCAAATTTTGTATGTTCTGATAGATAATAAAGGAATTAACGTCATCAGCGAAAGCGAAAGTATTTGGAGTTACCGGTATTTATCAGAGGCAGAATACGACAAAGCTTCTGTTTGGCACTGGAAATAAAATGGAGGCCGTGCCTGGTGTAGTCAGTTCTGTTCACGTACCTATTGATATCGAAGATCCTAACATTATTGAATTTACCACGACCAAAGTCACGGAAAATGCAACGATTGGCGTTGAAAATTCTGGAATTCAGAGCATACTCGTCACATCGATAAGGAATTGTAACAATACAAAGATTTGTCTTGCTAATGCATCCCGAATAGCATAATTATATTTAGTGTCATTCGTTTCAGCCAATATAACAACATGATCACGAGCGCCAAAATTCGCAACTAGACCCGAAATATCAGCAACCACGCTAGAGAACCCAGCACCGGGTTTGACCACTCCAAGCACACTGAATTTGGTACCTAACAAACCTCTTAAGAACTCGGACCATGATTTGCCGTGGCTGTCAGACAAAATCAATAGTTTAGGAGTGGCCTGGGGAGAGGAGGAAGAAGGAAGTGTGGGAGACGCTTTGGCCGGTTGACTTGTACTATTAACTGCTTGGAATTGGCTATTGCCAACTCTTTCGTTAACCTGGCAATAATTCTGTCTTTCTCGCCAAGCGCTGCTTTCAGTGAATTTTTACATTCACGTAAACACAAACACTCGGTGCAGACAACGGTGCTGTCCAAATTAAATTAATTATCAAAAACAGTTTTATCTATTAAAATATTACTCACCATTCGACTTCTGGTATTGACCATCTTGACTATAAAGGGCGCAGGTAAAAACTTGTATGGGCAGGTAGTAGAAACCCTTCGTTCGAGTGAGTTCACAACACAATGGAATTAAATTCACCAAGTATATTATATTTATTAGGAGGCAATAGAGTAACTTATTTTAAAATTAAAATTAAAAAGAAATTGAGAATAATAAATGTGAAAAATATATATAAGAGACTTGTTTACTCTTCCGAGGTCGGCGGCAAACAGACAGATAGTAAAACAACTGACGCTCACGCTTTCGCTGCCCTACCTCTGTGGCGTGAGCATATATGAGCGCAAAGTATGTGCTACGAGCATGCTTCGATGATGCTACGAGCGTACTTATGTGACACTCACAGCACCAAGTCGAACGATAAAAATGGCATGTAAGTATGCTCACAGCGCGTAAGCGTCCAAAGCGAATGCACCCCAAATCAAACTTAATGATAAGGAACTAGTCAATCTACATATAAATCTCAACAGATATTTGATTTAATTTCATGATGCTTACATGTCTTTCATTTCTACATGCTGCAACAGGATTTGGCTTTTCTCTAAAACTGGTCTAAGTTTGAATATCTTGATTCTTACGATCAGTTTTTACGTTATAGAAATTTACCTAATTTTATACAAAATCGATTTATGTGCATCTGTTTTCATGGTGAATCAAATAAACAACATATTTTCTGTCTTGGGAATCCTGAAATTCATTGATCTGATAATCCGGATTCCGGTGTGATTTTATTATGTGCCAGCGTTAATTGTTTAACAAACTAGTGGGGCGCATGGCATTGTGCCCTAAGGTAAATTGCTCGAACTTAACGTACCGTAATTAAAAATCTTGGTTCGGAACCCAAAAAACTTTATACAAAATGTGTACACATTATGAAAATCTCTATAATATATCTGATAATTTGATGTGCATATGTCTAATGATGATTTTTGGCCGCCAAAAGGCGTTTTTTAACTTATTTTTATTGAGAGTATACATAACCGCTAGACCTGCCTTCTCAAAAATTCAATCAGCTTTTTATCTTGTCAATACAAGTAAAATTAAATTATTAAAATCGGACGCTCTGTTCTCCTAAAAACTGAGTTACCGTTTTTGGCACTTTTTGCCCTGTATCTTCGGAACGGCTAGAACTGCCTCCGCTAAAAACTAATCAACACACCTCCTTATTAATACAAAATGAATGTTTTCTGAATTATTCAAATCGGTTGATATCGTGTCGACGAAAGTTTAAAAACACACACACATACATACACCAATTTTTTCTAAGGTATGCCAAAATATCCAGAAACCTTTGAAAATTTAATTAATTAAAAATTTTCCGTTTCGATTTTTTTGCGATTAATATAACTTACCCTACGGGAAGTTAATGTTAAGATACTTCATTCATGTAAACTATATTTACATTTAACATATTGTTATTTATTACTATAAAATATATTATAGCTTAGCTTCAGATGATAATGTTCAGACAATATCATTGAATATTTATTTGTTATAATATATGTGTGAAATGAAAATGAATCTTCATTATAGGAGCAGGTTTGGCGTCGGTTGTGATATCATTTCTGATGTCAACGTACTATAGCGTGATAATAGCATATGCTATTTATTACTTTTTCACATCGTTCAGATCCGACATGCCATGGGCAGACTGCAGTAACCGTTGGAATACACCAGACTGCTGGGTACCAGAAAGACTTAAAAACAATATTAGTCGCCCGGAACTCAGTCGGACGCCAAGTGAAGAATTCTTTGAGTAAGTTTTCTCTATAAGATAATATAAATATATAATATAAATTTATATCTACAATTATATAAGGACAATAATTTTGGTTTTACAATAAATAAATAGCAATCAGAAAATAAATTTCTATAAGCTATTGTGCTGATTATTAAAACTCCAGTAATAAAACTGGAGTTCTATATAAATCACATGACGGAGATCACCCCAGAGGCCTACTCCGTTTTAATGCATTAGATCGAAGGGATGCTTCTTTTTCAATCTTCTAATATTTGATGCTTGTAATACAAGAATTATTGTGGGGTTATTGTGGTTGATGATCTTATAGTGATGAATTCCGCTTCTGTTTTTCACTATCTCAAAAACAGTATCGATTTTTAGATCGTTATGTATTTTATTGCTGACATACCAAGGTGCATTTGCAATACACCTTAAAATTTTAGATTGTTTTCTTTGGATAGGTAAAATTCTTTATTCACTGACGCAGCCCCACAACTCTACGCCATAAGTCCAAATCGTTTTATTGTTGCTTTTAAACTAGAATTTTGTTTTCTAATGATAATTTAGATTTACCATTAATAAGCCAGAACAGTGATTTTATTTTTCTTTCCATTTGGTTTGTTTTTCTGTTAATATGAGTAATCCAATTTAATTTGCTAAATTTCACAATTTTTCAAGATTCAACCCGGTTACCTCAATGAAGTATTCTTGTACTTTTTCCATGTATTCTTTTTACTAGCCACTTTTGCCGACGACACTTCAATATTCATCAGGTATCAAACCCGCCTCTAAACCATCAAAACAAACTCAAAGATATTTAAATATACTACAAAAATGGTTAAAAAAATGGAAAATATATATTAATGAAGATAAATGTGTACATGTAACGTTTACTTTACGTCATAATACATGCCCCACAGTTTGCCTTAACAACAAACCAGTTCCAAAATCAGATGTGGTAAAGAACCTGGGTATGCATCTAGATAAGAAACTAACATGAAAACATCATATTAATAAAAAAAATCAAATTTCACAAAAAGTGAAAGAATTATATTGGGTAACAAACCGAAACTCTAAATTGTCTGTAGAGAACAAATTACTATTGTAGAAGTGTGTAATGAAACCTTTTTTGATGAATGGCGTAGAGTTATGGAGCACTGCTTCAAAATCAAATATTGCAATAATAGATAGAATGCAAAATAAAATTCTAAGATCAATTCTAAACGCACCGTAGTAAAAATAACGTTATACAATATCATATAAATAAATAAATATATATGAGTGAGTTCTTGAGGGCGATACATCAAACAAAGAAAAGGCAAAGATTTATAAAATAATCTTAAATTCCAAACGTTTCGACATTCAATTTAATGTCATCATCAGTGGATATTACGTTGGTAGGTTACATCTAGAGAAATGTACACACTAGAAATTGGCACTAACATTTATACAACTAACTTGTCAACACCATGTATTTTTTATAATTTTTTGTATGATGTAAAAAGAAAAATGATAGTTTTATTTGAACAAAAATGTAAGTAAAATTAGGTAATTTGTGCCACGACTTCTGTACTTTGCGCGTTCCGAGGCTTATGTCACATAACATGTCGAAACGTTTGGAATTAAAGATTATTTTATAAATCTTTGCCTTTTTTTGTTTGATGTATCGCCCTCAAGAACTCACTCATATATTTCAACATCAAAATTAACTACTAAATCATATATATATATATATATATATATATATATATATATATATATTTTGATGAGTTATTAAGAATCGGGCAGTTACACGAAGTAATAAAAAAACTAAAGTAGTTTTGAAATACTTTATTTATCCATACCTTTCGGTCTTCATCGAGACCGTCATTCAGTGGAAAAACTAAAAGATTTTAAATAATGTTGGAGGAAAATAATATAAAGTTATAGAACTTATATATAAAAACTTACAGAAAATTAGTCATACAAAAATACACTACACTATTACACTGTGATAAACCAAGCTATTAATAACTGGAACGTTTAACTAATTATTTTTTGACAATTTTTGGTTACATTCTAGTGTGTACAGATTAACTAACATCTAAATACTGAATGAATTGTTTTTACAAATTTTGCGAAAGTGTAAAAAGACTGGATATGTTTTTAGTAAAATAATAAAATAATAAAATACAGGCTTTATTCCGATTTGGTGGTGTTTTGAAAAATCGTCAAGGATTATTTTATAATCATTGCAAAGCGAATTGTTGTCCAATCTTTTATTTATGGCCGCCTCATTGTGTAAAGATATTAGGAATTCTTCGGTAAATCTTCTTTTAAATAAATTATTTTCGAAATGTAAGATCGTGGGATTGGTAAATTCAATGTTATGTTTGAGCTGATTAATGTGATCTGTTAGTTGACTGGTTTCACCCGTGTAGACGCAATTAAAATCTAGGCAATTAAGCTTATAAACTAGATTACTTAAGATTCTTGGGTTAAATTTTGATTTTAATTTTGTAAAAAGAGTTAAAAAAAGTTTCGGAAGTACAAACTACTCTAGCATTATTTTTACTGAAAAGTTTTCTCCACGGGTAATGTAATTTTTTAATGAAAGGTAAACTTATAGTTTCGACGTAGTTTTCATGGTTTGGATTTTCAATTGAATTATTTTGACGGTTTTGGAGATATAGGATTCTATTTTTAAATAGGTAAGTTATTGTAAGGAGCCAAAAATCGAAATTGAAATTTTTTACTTTTCTCGACGTTCTGAAGGTTTAGAAAAAAAGGATGTGTGTGTGTGTATGTATGGATACAATTTTTGGCCACGTTTTCGGGCGCACGGATCATCCGATTTGAATGGTTCATAAAACATTCGTTTCCTATTGATAGGGAGATGTGGTGATTAGTTTTTGGCAATGGCAAGCCTAGCCGATTAGGAGATACGGGACAAAGAATTCAGAAAAAAGAAATCGAGTTTTTGAGAGACCAGAGCATCCGATTTGAATGATCCCAAAAACATTCAATTTGTAATGACAGGGAGAAAGGGTGATTAGCTTTTGGCAAAGGCAGGTCCAGCGGTTTCGAAGATACAGAGCTAAATGTGCAAAAAATGGCAGTTTTTGAGAGAACTAAGCGTCCGATTTGAATGATTCCAAAAGCTTTCTGCTTGTTTTAATACAATAATTGATTTTGGGAAAAAAATTACGCTTCAAAAAATTTTTTTTAAATTTTTTTTCCAAAATTTTTTTTTGTGAATCGAAAATTTAAAAAGATTTTTATTTTAATTCTGTTCTAATATACTTTAAACAAATAATTTCAACTTTCCAATTTAGTTTATATAATTCTTATAAATATTCGACAATGTTACAGTATTTATAATAATCTATTTTGAAACATTTAATATTCTTCGATCATTTTGTTACGGTACGGGAAGTTCCAGCAATTTGCCTTAAGGCACGATGCCATACACCCCACTAGTTTGTTATGGATTGGATGAGGTGTTGTGTGTAGGAGTTTTTGGTTAGGATTTATGAAATGAGAGAGAGATTCTTTCTTAAAAATTTACTGTGTGATAATAATAATGCGTGGTCTATTAAGTTTATGATTGTGCCTATTTTGATAAAGAGGGGGTGGTAAGAATAGTAATTGAGATAACGGCCTGAGTATGTTCATTTGTGATACCAATCAGTTATTATATTATTACTTTCGCGAAAGAATTGAACATCTAAGAAACTGATAGATTTATTGTTTTCTAATTCAGAACTGAATTGTAGGTGTTGGTTGTAGGCATTAAGAGAATTTACAAGAGTTGTTGTGTCACTGTTTGGGATTTATGTTATGATGTCATCAACATATCAGTAGTAAAAAAATTGTTTATCGTAGGAATTTAAATTGAGGATTCTATGTGTTGAAGGGCTATTTCAGCTAAAGATGGGGAGGCTGGAGATCCCATTGGTGTACGAAATGTTTAGAAATAGAATTTGCTACTGAACTCAAAATATGTGTTGGGAATTAAAAATTTTATTGTTTCTCGAGACCAGTGTAAGGAAATTGTTATATGGAAGGATATATCATGCCATTTTTTTAGTTGTGGCTTCAAGGATAAGGTCTAATGGAACGTTTGTGAACAATTTGACTCCGCTTCATGGTGGAGTTATATCCGCTTAACAACTCCACGACTCCGACAATTTTGAAACCGAAATACTCGAAACAAATGTGTTTCATAGTGCTCTGTTTATGTATCTAAGGATTTGTCAAATCCCATTAATTATTTGTAATAAAAATTCATGAATAAATATCAATACAACAATTTTTCTAAAAAAATTCACGAATAAATGACGGATTGTAAAATTTTTCGGTCGACCAGATGATCGACTCAGTGACTCGTAATTTTAGCAGTGTTGACCAAAGTAAAAACGCAAAACTTGAGAATCAAATTCAATTTAATGATTTCTTTTTGATGACAAAATAATTGATTTGTTGGATTACTTTTATATAAAAATTATGTAGTAAACTTTTTAATAAAAGCAAAACATAATACTTCTTCTTTCAAAATTTTTCTTTTTCTATTTCCATTTGAGAATCAATATCATATCGCGTAGTTCGATTAGCATATTATTACTTTTACACAATTATATTATTGTGTAAAAGTAATAATATAATACTGAATATTTTTTGCTGCTTAAATACTAATGATATCACTGATAAATTTTGTACTTTAAAGTATTGTTATTTCAGGCTATGGAAAAACAAAATAAATGTATTTCGTTTCGTATATTTTTCGGTATGTATATTCCGGATTGCCGTCATCCACTGCCAAAGATGGATGGTATCATTTTGACTTTTATACCTAAAAGATCATAAAACTGCCTGACGAGAAAGTAACCGCTTCCTTCCCAAAGCAAAATCGACAAAAACACTAAATGTCTGTAAGAGAAGTCGGATATGACAAATCCTGTGAAACAACTCCACTCGAATTCACTCCGAGGGAGGAGTTGTATCGGAGTGATAACTCCGGAGTGAGTTACCCATCT